TTCGTTTGGGGGAGTTTTTAAATTACTGATCAGATTTCATTACTTCTACTCAGTCTGTTCAGATTTTTTATTTCTTCATGATTCAGTCTTGAAAGGTTGTGTGTTTCAAGGAATTTATTTCTTCTAGGTCTTCCAATTTATTGGCAAATAATTATAGTAATCTCTTAACATCCTTTGGATCTGTGGTGCTAGTTGTAACTTTTCTTTCATTTTGGATTTATTTTGGCCCTCAATCTTTTTTTCTTGATTAGTCTGGCTATTGGTTTATTGATTCTGTTTATCTTTTCAAAGAGTATGTTTGATCTGATCCTTTTTTTCTTTTTTTTATCTCTTATTTTCATTTTGATAACTATTATTTCCTTGTACTAACTTTGGTCTTTGTTTACTCTTTTTCTAGTTGTTTTAGGTATACAGTTAGATTGTTTGAGATATTCCTTGTTTCTTGAGGTACTCCCATATCACTACGAATTTCCCTTTTAGAATTGCTTTTGCTGTATCCTTTGGAGTTGGGAAAGCTGTATTTCCATTTTCATTGGTGTTAAGGCATTTTTTTAAATTTCCTCTTTGATTTCTTCATTGACCCATTGGTTGTTCAGTAATATGTTGCTTAGTGTCCGTGTGTTTGTAGGGTTTTCCCCCATTTTTCTTCTTGTAATTGATTTCTAGTTTCATATGATGGTGATCAGAAAAGATTATCTTAAATTCATTGAGAGTTGTTTTTTGGTGTAACATGTAATCTGTCCTGGAGAATGTCCCATGTACACTTGAGTAGAATGTGTCTTCTGCTGTCTGGGGATGGAATGTTCTGTATTTATCTATTAAGTCTATCTGATCCAATGCATCATTGAAGGCCAATATTTCCTTCTTAATTCTGTCTAGATGATCTATCCATTGATGTAAGTGGGGTGTTCAAGTCTCCTACTATTACTGTATTACTGTTTATCCCTTTCTGTAGGTTAAGATTTGCTTTTTATGTTTAGGTGGTTCCTATCATGGATGCATCAACTATACAAATGTTATATCTCTTCTTGGATTGACTCCTTTATCATTATGTAATGCCCTTCTTTGTCTTCTGTTAGTCTTTTTCTAAAGTCTCTTTTGTCTGATAGAAATATTGCTATGTTGGCTTTCTTTCCATTTGCCTTTGCATGGAATCCCTTTTCCCATCTCTTCGAGACTGTGGATGTTTTTAGATCTGAAGGGAGTAGGAAGCATATATATATGCATATATATTATATATATATTATATAATATTTAAATATTTCTAGTTGTTATATTTATATTAGTTGTTATAATATTTATATTATATATATTTTTATTAAATATTATATAACAATATTTTTTATACATTTTGCCACTTCATACATTTTAATTGGAGCATTTAGTGTATTTACACTTAAAGTAGTTATTAAAAGGTATATTCTTATTGCCATGTTGTTCATTGTTTTCTGATCATTTTTGTAGTTCTTTTCTTTATTCAGTCTCTTCTGTTGGGATTTGATTTTTTTAAGATTTTATTTTATTATTTATTCATGAAAGACACACAGAGAGAGGCAGAGACACAGGCAGAGGGAGAAGCAGCCTCCCTGCAGGGAGTCTGATGCAGGACTCAATCCCAGGAGCCCAGGATCATGACGTGAGTCAAAGGCAGACGCTCAACCACTGAGCCACCTAGATGCCCGTGTTAAGATCTTAATTTTCACCATTTTATTATAACATGTCTTGGTTTGGATCTCTTTGGATTCTCCTTGTGATTGTGTTTTCTGGACCCACATGTCTGTTTCCCTCCCCAGGTTAGCCCCTTTATCTCTTTCTACTTCTGCTGGGATCCATATGATGCAAATGTAAATATGCCCGATGTTGTACTAGATAGTCTTTTAAACGATTCTCACTTTTTGATTATTTTTTCTTTTTTGGCTTCTGGCTGGGTTATTTCCACTATTCTCTCTACCAGATTACCAACCTGTTCCATGTCATCTAATCTGTGGTTGATTCCCTCTGGGGTATTTTTCAGTTCAGTTATATTGTGACTTCTGTTTGGTACTTTCTTATATTTTCTAGCTCTTTATTGAAGTTTTTACTTTATTATTCCAATTTTCTCTGGAGTAGTATGTTGTATGAGCATCTTTATGGCAATTAGTTTGAACTCCTTATCAGGTAAATTACTTATTAGTTTCATTAGGTATTTGGTGGTGGTGGGGTAGTATCTTATTCTTTTGTTCATAACATATCCTTTGGTCTCATTATTTTTTCTTTTCTTTTCTTTTCTTTTTTTTTTTTTTTTTTTACTTTCTTTGTTGGAACACCTACCTCTCTCAATCTTGAGTCACTTTTCATTGAAGCATCCTCTTTGTAGATTACATGTGCCTGGTGGCTTTGGCTGACCAGCTGGAGCTGAAACAGGTGAAGCCTTGAGGGTTCTGAGGTGTACTGCACTAGGGTCACCCTGGCAAAATAGCTAGATCTGGAGTAGAAATTGACCACAAGGTCACAGGATGCTGTGAACCAGATCAGCTTTTGGCAGGACAGTTGGAACTGGAGTATTCATGGACTGAGGTTCTCAGAGCATATCTCCTACAAGGCTGCCCTGCAGGGATAGCTAGAACTTAAGTGAAAGTGTGCACTCTTTACTTGCCACCCTGGAAGGATGGCTAGAGTGGTGCAGGCCTGACAGGGTCCTGAGGTGCGATGTGCTAGGGCTGTCCTGGCAGGATGACTGGGTTGGGCATAGTCCAAGGGAGACCTGAGGTCACCTTGGTGGAATGGCTGGAGCTGATGTAGGTTTAGGGCATGGCGCTTGCTGAGGTGGCCCTAGCAGGCTGGCTAGAGTGCCTAGACTCTGTTCCCATCTGCACTATTAAGGTAGAGGGTTAGATAAACAGTGGTACCTGGTAGCACCTCAGACCCCAGAGAGAGTTCAAAGAGTTCCCACACTCTGGCTCTACAGTTAGTAGATGGCTTTCCTTCACTTACACTGTAATTGCTTTTTAAATGGCCATCTCTTTGCTGTGCCGTAGAGCAGGCAAGTATTTATATAGGCCCCTCAGTGATATCCCTTCCTAGTTCAGATAATCACATCAGGGCTGGGGTTCCCATTGTTACCCTGTCTCCCTTTGTCCTTGTCCTTTTCTATCATCAGTTGTGACCAAACCATTCAATCAGCACTCCGTTCTACTTCAGAAGGAATGACTCTATACTGAGTTGTAGATTCAGTGTGTCTCTGGGAAGAGGTGAGTTCTGGGACTTCTTAGGCTGAAGGGACTATCTCCTTTGCCCAATTTTAAAAAGTCAGCAGTCAGATTTTTCATCAGTATATTGGCACATTATAAGATTGTGGCAGAAAGTGCAAGTGCTGGACCCTAATAAAGTAGGTCAGATGCTAGCCAGATTCTAAGGCTAGCCTATCTTCCTGCCACCCGAAGACACAGGATTAGTATATGTTATCTGAAGAGCTCTCAAGGAAAAGTAATTCTACAGTTTATCTTTTCTTTTTTCATGATTCCTCATCATACAATTTCTAGTAGTAACTAACTGTGTAAGTTTGGGCAAGTTTAATTTTACTGTGTCCTAAATCCTATCGATCCTATAAAATGGGAATATTCATAAAAACCTGACAGATTGAAAAGAAAAATGGATTTTTGTGTATAAGGGTAGATTATTTGGGGGTCTTGGGAAGGTTCATTAACTGTTTGCTGAATTTAGCATATAAATAGAGTTCCATATGTTTAAATCAACAAATCTGGATGTGAGATAAAGCTAAAAGATCTAGGAGGTTGCTGGGTTTTTTTGGAGAGGCCCAGGCTAAGTCCACAGCCCTTGCTAGGCAGTATCAGGTTTCAGATATAAGAATTGACAGTCTTCTGGTGTTGATCACATGTGCCACAATTAATGCTGACATGACTAATATCCTCACAACTCTCTTGGTATCTTTGCTTTAAATTCTGGAATGCATAGAAAGCTATCTTATCTACTTCCCTACAGGAAAGGTATAGGAATGATAACATTAAAATGCTTCTGCAAGCAAGCTCCATTTTAGGACTAACTTTTGAAGTTGATAAAAAGTATACTTTGAAGCAATAATGGATGAAACGGCAGTTGTGATACCCACTATTTTCCCTAATGGACCACTTATTCCCCCAAAACTAGTTTATACCCTAGAAATGTACTTCAAGGTGAAGCAGTGTCTTTTTAACTTGAGCTTATTTGGTGTACTAGATCAGATGTGTAGGCAAAAGACTGAGACATCCTTTCATGTACCATAAAATTGATTTTTTTAACTCTCTGACAATAGAGGGTCCTATAGTAAAGGTGGCATCATGCATGGCCCTAAATTAAATCCCCCTAGATTTTAAATTATCTTTAATGCTATATATTTAGGTCTTAAGTTTGCCATATAGTTCACATGCCCAAAATTAAATGTAATTTTTAAGTTATTTTACACAACTGCATTTAAAATTTCCAAGCCTGGGGTATTAACATGAAGTTTAAAAGCAATAAAATAATCACAAAAACTTATGTACCATCAGCAGAATGAATTTTTTACTTACTAATAGGACAGTAATAATTCTGGTAAGCATCCCATCAAATTCAAACAAAGCCAACAAATGGGTGTCACCTATTTCCATTCCTTTTGCAAAACTAAAATCAAGTAGATGTAATTGTTACTGCTATAAAGGTTATAGTAATATTTTCCCCCCTCCCAATAATTGTGAAAGGACAGGGGTAATTAGCAGTGCAGAAAAGATGTTTTTGGCATTTCTTAATATATAAAATCTATCCCATATTACAGTAGTATGTGTTTTAATGACATTATGCAATTTAATATCTGGGTCAGTCACTTTTCATCTGTAATATATTTCTGCATGACAGCATCTGAGACTATATGAACACACATCTGCTGCAAAATCATTAAACCAAGAAAAAAGTGATTCAGATTTTACTTACATTTAAAGAAATAAAATGACTAACAAATGAGAAAAGAGCTAAGAATAAATCATTTACATCCTAAAAATACAACATTTCAAGACTTCTAAGAGTTAACAAAATATTTTAATATAATTGACATAAACTGGGTCTCAGAAATTACCCTTGATCTAAACAGAGACTGTTTTATATTTTAAATGTTTATCTTTATGACTACACCTAAGCCATAAAAATCCCAACAGGTTTTATTTCTTTTGTGAATATGTCATGATCAAGCTTTGGTTTATAAAATATTGGAGTTGAGATATACTTCCTTAGCACTCCGTAAGAAGGTGCACAGAAGTTAAAATGTTATTTTATTTCTGCTAACCTGACAATAGAACTTAAAAGGCAAACATTTAAACCCTCTAAAGCAAAAAATACAAATACACACACAGTAACCCCAGTAAGTCTATTCATCAATATTTATAAAATAAATTTTCTTCACCAGTTAGAGTTCATTAATCTACATCTGCAAATAAGTTTTGCCAAAATGTTTTGGTGCTGAGACCCCCCCTTTCAAACCACTTCAATGCAAGGTCTACAGGAAAAGTTCAAAAGAGGAACAGAATAAGGACCTTGTGAACCTGTCCACATTCCTTTGTGAAGGCAGAAAGACATGGAAGACCGGAGTGGAGATCCATTTTGAAGACTCTGCTTTGTTCCTCCAGGGTTTCTTGGAGGTATGGTCCTTGGGATCCAGATCAGATGTGAACTGTTGGCAGCCCATGGCTATAATTCAATGTAATAAAATCATGAAGCGGAGAGGGCTGAGACAGTTAAGTAAATGACACTCCTTAACTCACACTTAGGCAAATGTGATGTTGCTGAAATCCAAGACGGTTTCCCACAAACCAGCCAGGACAGTAATCCAAAATAAGAGACCTCTGCATCCTGGCGCTCCTCCAGGATCAAGCACAACTCTTTTTGCTACCGTGTTACCTAAAACAAATTAAATAAGTGACCGGTCAGTACCTCATCACTACCAAAGACACTTCTTTCTGCTACTGGATTCAGAAGTCCCTGCCTGTGTCATTTGTGCAACATTTAGCAGTTTGTAACCAACCTCACCTAATCACTGTTCAAATCAAATCCTTCTTCACAGTTCTTGCTTCCAGGTTGCAAAGAAAACATGCACAAAGTCTTCCACAACATGGTATTACGTACCTCAACTTGGTATTTTGTAGAGTTATAAAGAGCCCATCGGATTAGGTATATTTGTTGCCCATAGTTAATGCATGCATGCTGAGCATGCTTTCTGGAAGGCATTAAATTTTTTTCAAAAGAATGCTAATTTAGATGAGTGTATGTCAAGATAGAAAATGTTACCTTTGTTACTTTTTAATGCAGTTAACTTTTATTTTATTTTAGGGTGTCTGGTGGCTTGGTTGGTTGAGCGTCTGACTCTTGATTTCAGCTCAGGTTGTGATCCCAGGGTCAATAGATTGAGCCCCATGTCAGACTCTTCACTCACGAAAATCTGCTTGAGATTCTCTTTCCTGCTCCCTATGCCCCTACCCCAACTCACTTGCATGCAAATGCATGCTCTCTCTCTCTCAAATAAATAAATCTTTTTGAAAATTTCAAAAATCAAAAATAGGTTCTTTTAGAAAACTGCCATAATTACTAAAAACAGACATTAAGAAGTTTACTGTTGTTTTCTCTATTTTTTATACTTAAAAGAAAATAAAGTAGCAGTTTCTTTAGTTTTATTTGGTCATGTAGGGTGTAAGGTATTTTATAGGTTAGATAATCTGTATACACTCTAGAGGGGGAAAAAATCCAAAGCTTAAGACTTTAACATATCTACAACATAAAAATACTTGATGACATAGTCATCACTGCTGGCCTTAAGACCCAATCAAGTATTTATTCAAACCTCAGATGTGCTATTAATTGACATATAGACTTTTTTAAAGATTTTTTTAAATTTATTCATTCATGAAAGACACAGATTGAGAGAGACAGACAGACAGACACAGAGACAGAAACACAGGCAGAGGGAGAAGCAGGCTCCATGCCGGGAGCCTGATGCAGGACTCGATCGCGGGACTCCAGGATCACACCCTGAGCTGAAGGCAGGCACTAAACCGCTGAGCCACCCAGGGATCCCCGACATATAGCCTTTATTTTATAGCCTTTATTTTATATATTCTACAATATAGTTGGTTGCTCTTCTGTTTGTACTGGGAATGCTATAGCAAACACAACAAAAACCCTGTTCTCATGAGGTTTATAGAACAAGTAAACTAGCCCTATTCTAGGTCAAGGACCAGATATGTTCAGCTTTGCAGGCCATACAGTCACTGCCACACTACTTAACTCAGCCTTTTTAACATAAGAGGGGCATAAACAATACAGCCTGTAAACTAATGGGCATTGTTTCATTCCAATAAAACTCTGGTGTAGATACTGAAATTGGGATTTCGTGTAATTTTCATGTTATGAAACTTTTTTTTTCTTTTTGAATGTTTAAAATGGATAGCCCATTTTTAGCTCACAGATCACAAAATACAGGCCAAGGGTTGGATTTGGCTTGCAAGCCACAGCTTGGGGACTCCTATTGTAGAAGAAAGAGTTGGACCAACAGGAAAAGAAACATGCCAGAAGTGATAGGTGGTATGGAAAAAGATATATGAGGGCCAGAAGGATAGAACTCAACTGATTTCTAGAGGATCGTCAGATGAGGAGATGCTTAAAGGATGCAAGGGAAACCTGACTACTTAGAAGAACAACTTTGGCCTTTGCCCACCTGAAACACAAAGATGAGACCAGGGATGCATTCCAGACTGTCAACTTAACAGGATTATTTTGGTAGAAGTGATAAAAGGTGTAGTCAAAAGGACTTGTGAGAAACAGGACAAAGGACATGAGAGGATGAGGATTCAAACTCTTGATCTTAAATCCCCAGATGATAGAGTTGGTAATTTTCTGAGCTGGGGAGGACTATCACTGCCTCAGCTTCTTCAGCCGCTAAGTATTAAATTAACACCTGCCCCCCTCAGTTGGGTAAGGAGTACGTGACATGTGATGGCATGGTCCAGGGCTTGCCATGTGGTTAACACTCAGGAGAGGGTGGCTCTTGTCCCCCTCGCTCTTTCTGGGTCTATCATGCATCCACAGTGTTCAGAGCCAAGTACCAACCTGTATCAAGGATGTCATTGTCAATAGCATTTTATTTAAGGCAGCTTACTTCGCATGCCCAGCTCATTTTGGACTTAATCTATATTAAAGTTGAATAATAAGATTCTTTAGGACTTGTTTTACTGCCAAGTTTTCATTTTGCTAATTGTACATGGAAGGGTCAATGTCACTTTGGAATTTGGTGGACACAGGTTGCTAACCTGCCAATACTAGTTCCACTCTCACATGACAGGATACTCTGAGTATTTCAAGCTCTGGCTCTAGGGATTAGGAAAGACAAGACTTCTGGGTAAAGGATACATCTCAGGTGGACCTTAAAAGATAGCTAGAATTTTTAAAAAGGGAACAGATGAAGAAGGCAGCAGTAGGATATGGAAATACATGGTCTACTGGGTGAGTCACACTGATGGCTCATCTCCAGGTGCTTATACTCTGTTACCCATGAGAATCCATTGGTGGTCTCTCACCAAGGAGACACCTGGACAGGGAAATTACCCTGGAAACACAGAGAACAGTATAAATACAAGAACAGAGCAGATGCAGAACCTGGTTAAACGAAAATCAACATAAGAACAATTTTTTGAGAATGGTTTGCTAAGCCCCACCCCAGTCTTACTATACCAGAATATCCTAGGGGTAGTGCTCAAAACAGTGGGTACCAGTTCCCATGATAAGTCTCCTGTGGCCACTGTTACCATTACTAGTAATATTGGGGCATAAGAGGCTACCCCTATGGATCATCCTCATTCTAAGAAACAGGGAAAGTTACCAGTTAGGGGGTGATCTTACCAGTTAGGGGGTGATCTAAGGCAGATACCATAAAGACTGGGTCATCTTAGATCTTGAAGGTGAGGTGTGTTGCAGAGAAAACCTGTCGTTTAAATTAACTCCTATCTCTGTTTTCTAATATGAAATATTGGGAACATGTAGATATTAAATGGAAACTTTGAGGAACCACATGAAAAGAATCAAGTAGAATTCTTTTTTATTTATTTATTTTTTTTTTATTTACGATAGTCACACAGAGAGAGAGAGAGAGAGAGAGAGAGAGAGAGAGGCAGAGACACAGGCAGAGGGAGAAGCAGGCTCCATGCACCGGGAGCCCGATGTGGGATTCAATCCCGGGTCTCCAGGATCGCGCCCTGGGCCAAAGGCAGGCGCCAAACCGCTGCGCCACCCAGGGATCCCTCAAGTAGAATTCTTACAAAAAGTTATTGAAATAAAAATTCTCTAAAGCAGATTTTTTTCAGCTTCAACATTATTTACATTTGGATCCAGATCATTCTTTGCTAAGGGGGGCCCTCCTGTGCATTTTAAGATTTTTAGCAGCGTGTCTGGCCTCTACCCCAAGATGCCTGTATAACTCCCCGCCGTCCCCACCCTGTGGCAACTAAAAATGTCCCCTTGATGGGAACATTACCCACTGAGAACTATTGCTCTAAAGACATAGCTCTTCACCCTTAGATGTTGGAAAAATAACTTCTTGAAATTCAATATGATTTACTTCCACTTCTGAAAAAAAAAAGCAGCCCCAGCCAATGGTTCACTTTGGTCCTAAACAACACTGTGCAGTTGTGAGGAGCTTTAATATGAACTACTCAAATGTAAAGGAAAACTGAGCCAGGATGACAGAGAGTTCTAATTCTCCATGACAACTAGTAGCTGAATACTCTCTGGGGACACTAAAAACTGTAGAGGCAGACTAAACTTATGGCCACCTTTTCAAAACTGGAAAAGACAGGAGGACTGGCTAGGAAACGGTCTCCCCTCATTGTCATATCTTCATCTAAGTCTGTTAATATCTCAACTGCTCACTCTTTTCATATTTGCATTTAAATGGAAAATAAAATTCTGACATAGGTGGCTTACTGCAGGATTATCTTCTTTTTTTCAGCTTTTCCATGTTTTCATGTTGCTGGCAATGAACTGTTTAAGGAAAATGAAAATTCTTTTGTTAATATAGTTAATACCCCATCTAGGGCTGCAATGGTTTTACCTCTGTAGGACCTCTGTTGCATTTGTGGTATAAGGTTGGTGTCTATTTTAAGAAAAAGACACAGCTTCTTAGGGTACTAAGCTCTTCCCAGAAGCCAGTCACACCTCCACAAATGAATTTATTCTATGTTCATAAGATCTATAAAAGACATAAAATGTTTTATGCAGTTCAAGTCACAATGACTTGGATTAATAAAGGAAGCAGTTTTACTACTTCGAGATTATTCTCAAGTGGCCTATCACTAAAAAAAAAAATAAAATAAATAAGGAAAAGGAAAAGAAAAAAAAGCAGCTAAGTATCATTATGGCTTAGGGAACTGTATTGTGTTTCTACAACTTTTAGAAGTGCCAAATGAAATGTCACTACCGTTGAGGATTTGGCTAGAGCAAACTTATATTCCCAGCACACAGAGCCGAAATGCCCCTAAAGGTTTGCTTCCTGCAAATGCTCTTCGTTACTGCACATAAATAGAGAGGGAGCTGCTCCAGCAAGAGACTACTTAGACACATTCTTTTCCGGAACACAGTTGGCTTATGTTCATGGTCTTGTTTTATATTTATATCTAACAATCAATACAAGTATAATCTTCCAAATGTTATTTCTTAGTCTACAACAAATTGGATAAAAGGAAATTTTTATCATTGATGGATGTAGGACCCCAGTTCATTGGCAGCTCCAAGATTTTTATTCAGGAAAGAGATAGGGGGAAAAAAGGCTGAAAGGGGCCAATAGGGAAAGGAGAGCAGAATTGCTTTAAAGCAGAGTTTGCTTAGCAAGCACACTTGGGTTTACACAGATTGGAAGTTAATTTGGAGTAGCTTAGAAGCAGAGCTGATAGAAATGATAGTAGTGTTAACCTCCTTCCTCCATGAACAAAGGAGGAATTCCACAAGCTTCCAGTGCTCTGGGTATAAAAGCATGCAGTAGGCACACCTTAGAGATTCTGGAGGTTTGGGTCCAGACCACCCTGGTAAAGCAAGCAATGCCATAAAGGAAATATCACAATAAAATGAATATCACAATAAAGCACGCCAAATTAATTCTTTGTTTCCCAGTACATATAATAGTAATGTTTACACTGTACTGTAGTCTGTTAAATGTTCAATAGCATTTTGTCTAGAAAACAAAACAAAACAAAACAAAAAAACAATGTATGTGTCCTTATTTAAAAATACTTTATCTTAAAAAATACCTTGTTTAAAAAAAAAAAGCTAACCATCACCTGAGCTTCCAGCCCGTCATCATCTTTTTCCTGGTAGAGGGTCTTGCCTCGATGTTGACAGCTGCTGACTGATCAGGATGGCAGTTGCTGCAGGCTGGGGTGGCTGTGGCAATTTCTTTTAACAAGACCATCTAGCCTGCCAAACTGGCTGACTCTTGCTTTCATGAACAATTTCTCTCTAGCATGCCATGCTGTTGATAGCATTTTACTCACAGAACTTCTTTCAAAGTGGGAGGCAATCCTCTCCAATCCTGCTGCTGCTTATCAACTAGGTTGATGGAATATTCTAAATCATTGGTTGTCATGTCAATGATCTTCATAGCATCTGCAACCTAGAGTAAATGCCATCTCAAGAAACCACTTTCTTTGCTCATCCATGAGAAGCACCTCCTCATCTATTATGGTTTCGCATGTGAGTGTAGACATTCAGTGCCATGTTCAGGTTCCGCTTCTAATTCTAGTTCTGTTATTTCCACCACATCTCCAGTTACTTCCTCCACTAAAGCCTTGAACCCCTCAAAGTTATCCTTAAGTATTGAAAACAACTTCTTCCAAACTCCTATTAGCTTTGACCTCTTCCCATTGTTCTTAATGGCATCTAGAATGCCCAGATCCATCACAGGGATCATTAGCTCCATGACAGCTATAGCCTTACAAAATTCACTATTTAAATAATAAGAATTGAAAGTCAAAATGACATCCATTCTGCAGCCCATGGATCAAGGAATCATGTTAGCAGGCATAAAAACGTTAATCAACATTTGTCTCCATCAGAGCCCTTGGGTGACTAGATGCATTGTCACTGGGTGGTGATATTTTGAAAGGACTCCCTTTACAAGCAGTAAGTCTCAACAGTGGGTCTTAAATATTTAGTAAACCAAGTTGTAATCAGATATATTGTCATCTAGGCTTTGTTTGTTGCATTTCTAGAGACAGAGTAGATTTAGTCTAATTCTTAAGGACTCTAGGATTTCCGAATGAGCACTGTCTGCAGCCTAAGACCAACAGGTGCATGAGCCCCTACAAGAGTCAGCCTTTGAAGCTTTGATGCCAGGCACTGACTTCTCTCTAGTTATGAAAGTCACAGAGGGTGTCTTCTTCCAATAGAAGGCGTTTTGTCTAAAATGAAAATCTGCTGTTTGGAGTAACCAACTTCTTTATCTTAGCTAGAACTTCTAGATAACCTGCTGCAGTTTCCATATCAGCATTTGCACTTTATGGACATAGCTTCTCTGTTAAACCCCATGAACCAACATCTGCTAGATTCATACTTTTCTTTTGAGAAAAGAATTAGGGCCATGCGCAGGATCAGGTTCTGGTTTAAGGGAATGTTATGGCTGGACTGATCTTTTATCCAGATCACTAAAACTTTCTCCATATGGGCTTTAATGCTGTCTCCCTTTCTTATCATTTGTGTGCTCACAGGAGTACTTTTTAAAAATTTCCTTCATGGGTTCTTCCTTTGTATTCACAGGTTAATCATTTGGTGCAAGAGGCCAGGATTTGGTCTATCTTGACTTTTGACAAGGCATCCTGACTAAGCTTAATCATTTCTATCTTTTGACTTAAAGTGAGAAATGTGATTCTTTCTTTCCCTGGAACACTTAGAGGGCCAAGTAGGTTTATTAACTGGCCTAATTTCAATATTGTTGTTGTCTTGGGGAATAAGGAGGCTTAAGGAGAGGAAGAGAGGCAGGGGAACAGAACACATACATTTGCAGACTGTTTGCTCTCTTACAGGGCTGGCACACTAAAATTATAACAGTACCCTAAACATCACTGATAACCATTAACAAATAATTAAAAAGGTTTTAAATATTCCAAGAATTACCAAAATGTGACACAGAGACACTAAGTAAGCCGATGCAAAGGATGCCAATAGACTTGCTTGACTCAGGTTGCCACAAACCTTCAGGTTAGAAAAAAAAAAATAGCCTGTACAAAGCACAATAAAATGAGATATTCTTCACCAGGTCATTAATCCTAGTCATCTTTAAACTACTTACAAAAAGTTTACAACTAATGTGAAATAGTTTTGAGTTTGAAATTATGATTTCTAACTAGCTAAGGAATTAGCTGACTTACTCTACTACTGACAAATTTGAGGTCAGCTCAAATTTACATTTGCAGTTTTTTATAAAATGTTCTCATTTGTTCTAAATGTAATTTTTTTATTATATTATAATGACCTTGTTTATTACTTTCCATTTGAAAGTTATTGAGTCTATCAAAGTCACTGCAAACATGGTCCCTGACTTCACAGGCCTCTTCCCAGGGAGAAAGCTCTAGGATACGAAGCACCTCAGGACACCCTTCTGTGTAAAGCAGAAGCAGAGTAAATGCTCAGAGATACAGGAGACCTGAATCCACTCGGTGAAGGACTCCAAAGACATAATGGCTCCAGAGGAAAGAAAGGAGGGAGGCCCATTCCATGAAGAACACCTTTCTTGGCAACCACTAAGGCACATGGGAAGAGCTACCAAGAGAAGGCTGAAACAGGGAAAAAAAAAAAAAAAAGAATGAAGGGAGGTGACTTGCCTGGTTATTTATAAAGAGCCAGATAGGCAAAGCTAGTGGAGCAAAACAAACTTGGTTAGAAGATCTCCATTCACAAAAGTGATTGTGGTCAGCGTGTGGAGAATGGCCTGAAGAGGGCCATGGTGAATGTGAGGCAGCCACTTAGTCCTCCAGGGGAGACCCAGTGGGGATGGGACCCCTGGCGTCAGGATGCTGACACACGGCTCAAGGAGGGAGTTGGGAAGGACAATCCCAAAACGCAGTAATAGACTGGACGTGGGGAGGTAAGGTAGAGAGATTTCTGGCTCAATAACCGGAAGGACAGAGGTGTCCTTCTGAGACCGGGAGACCTGGACAGAAGATCTCTGGGGGAGGCAACTCCTGATTTTGGATGACTCTGAATTTGGGACCCCAACTACTAAAACTCCTCACAGGAAGGGAACATCCCTCCTTCAGCGAATCCTCTGCGTGTGGCATCTGTCGACACGCTGGCCTGTCGACGCTGAGCCCTTTATTTGAAATTGGGCCCTCGAAGGAGCTGCGATGCATTCGGTGCCCTGCCTAAAACCACAAGTGCATCCCCCCAGACCACACCACTCTGAAAAATCGGACATAACGGGTGCCACTTAGGAAATGGGCTGTTCAAAGGGCCAGAGTAATAGCATGGCACTGCCCGAGCAGGTTTACGGGCAGAAAATAGCGTCGCGGTGCTGGGATACAATGAAGAGGGAACCCCGCTTAGGTAATCCTCTGTGGAGGTTGTAAGGGAGAATTGTGTTCATCTATACTTGCCTTTGTAGTTTTGACTTTATTGCCACTGCTACAGGACCAACCTGAGTAATCTGGTAGCACCTTGCAATCCTCTCCTTCCAAGCAAGGATTCATGTGACACCACCATTTCTGAATCACGATGGAAGCTGTAAAACAAAGGCCAAATAATGTTTGTGATACCATTTCTTCCACCAACTAGGGACAACATAAAGCTCATATACGGATCGATATATTGACTTCAAAGATTGTTAATGAGAACTATTTCACTGTAAGTAAATTTAAAGAATGCCTTCAGCCATACACTCTAGAAAACAGTAAGACGCCAAGCTTTGCAGCATGCCTGGGTACGACTTTGGCACTGCTACTTTTTTTTTTCCCCAATGACCTTCACCTAGTTATTTAACTCCTCTTGGCCTCAGTTTGTTTATCTGCAAAATGAGGATAAAAACAGAACCTCACCACAATTGTCAAGACGATAAAGCTAATCCATATTAAAATCTTGGCTAACCAGGGGCCAATCACTAGGTTGTCAGAAAATGTTAGCTATTGGTGTGGTCATCATTTTGTAGGCTCCAATGGTGGATGCTGGCACTGCAAAGTTGTTATGTTTGATGCTCTTTGTTGCCAAGGGCACAGAGTAAAAGTAGTAAACATTTCCATCACAGAGGTGTTCATCTCTCCATCCCATTCCAACCAAGTGGTGAGTAAACCCTTGAACTCACCAACTGGAAGCCAAATGAGGTGGAAGAGCGTGGCACTCCCTCACAGGCTCGCATTTTAGACTCGTGATCTCACCTGTGAATTCCCTTTCCTCCTTACCCCATGATCTCTGCTGCCACCGGCCTATAAGATGAGGAAACAGAAAATTCTCTGGGTTTGGAGGCAGATGAAGAGAAGTTAAGGGAACTATCAACTTGGCTGGGTATTCCTACACAGGACAAAAGGGACTGTGATTTATTGTTTATGGTGAGCCCAGCCAGTGGACTGGTACAGGTCAGAGATCTGAGGCTGCACGTAGGGTGTATGGATTAAGGGGAAAGGGTCATTGGGCCCTGTTTTTCTGGTGAAACAGCAGCACTTTGGTATAAAAAAAAAAAAAATATGCCCATGAATTTGACTCAAAATACCCTTGCCTGGGAAGTCTGAAACTCAATTTCAAGCAACTCTTGAGAATTCCTAATAGCTGTTTTCTTGAGGGTCAGGCACCCTGCTAAATGTATTTCCTGCATTTTATAGAGAAGGAAAAACTGAGGCCCTTTGACAGAGGCATTCTTTCTAATTCTAGAGCCCCTTCATCTGCCATTAAATTAATCTCTCTCCCTCACACCAGAGATCTGTAGTAGAAACAACCAGAGGTAGAGAGGCAGTGACAAAAGTAGGAAACATAGCAAGCTCGCATTAAAAACTCTTCTCCTATCAGGCATATGCAATACCGCATGATTAGGGCACCGGACCATTTCACTCTCAGCAGAAGTGGCTAGACATTGTGTCTATTCCACATGAAAACCACCATTTCTGATTCTGGTCAAATACTGTGCTACTACCCAATTACAGTCCCGTCAAAACCACTAATATATAAATGAAGAATTGTGATCTAGAAGAACCGTAAGCTATTTAAGTCAGAAGGTGCCAACACTGAGCAAGGAATATAGCTAAATGGGTTATTTATTTTGTCAGAGAGTGCCACTGAGCTTTAGTGGATGGCTGGAGACAGTGCGGTGAAGTCTGAGAAAGCCATATTCTTTTCAGTCACAAATATTTTAAACAAATTCACCTTAAAACTGTATGGAGCTTTGTTATTTTTAAAGCCCTTTTACATACTGTTCCTCTTTCAATTATCCCAACCACCTTCAGAATCAGGAAGGGGTGGCAGATGGCCAGAAAGGAAAACAACTGTAAAAGAGAGTGAGTAAAATGGGGGAGGAAGTACTAGAATCTAGACTTCCTCCTCTGTCTCTACAAGTCTTTCTACTGTACCACAACTTATAATAATAGTTTAGATTAACATACGCTACTTAGAGTTTGACCAGATTCAAAGTTCTGACCAGTCATTCATTATCTTCTGAATACCTTAGGCTGATCCCAAGTAGATATAAAGACAAATAAGAGATGGTTCCCAGCCCTCGATTTAAAATTCCATCTGCAGGATTGCAAAAGTTATATAAATGTTGACAGAGCTTAGTTATATTTACACAGCGTTACAGCTGAATTTAAAATACTTTTTTTTTTTTAATCTTTAAAATAGTTCTCTTAGGCAGATTCTCTGCCACTCAGCAGTGGGAACCTATGTACTCCTGACAGGGGCTGGGGCTACATGGAAGATTCTGCAGAAGCGCAGGAAGACCCATGTGGCTCAGTGAGGGGTCAGCAAAGCAGCACAAGACACCCTGCTGAGCAAGGTGATCCGAGAAGCAAGCTTCAGGGGCTCTCAAGGCCAACTCCAGATTAGACTTGATTCCCCAAGCAGCAGGGAGCCATGGAAAGCTTCTGCACAAGGGCGTACCATAAACCAGGGGAACCTGTGTGCCTAGAACAGCTGGTCTGGCAGGTGATAATAAACAGTTGGGGGCAGAAAAGCGTCTGAAAGAGACCACTTAAAATATTAAGGTGAGAAATCTGGGAATAAATTCCCTACACAGGAAATAATCTGATTCATTCTATGTCAGCTTCTCAGTAGAGAAATGCAAGTCCTTACTGGCTTCATGGGGTCCCAAGATAATTCTGATGCCAAATCTCGAAAAAGGAGCTTGAGAGGGAAAAAAAGATGGATTCAGGCATTTGTCACAGAAAACTATGCCAATTCTTAACTACAGAAAAATAAAATGTTTTCACAGTATTTTGTTTAAGGTTTTAAATTTATTTAAGCAAAAGAAGAAAGCACGTATGATCAAGCTCTTGTGAAATTATCATTTTTCTTTCATTTAACTGGGAAATATGGAGTGATTCTTCTGAAGACAGATACGATAGGTTCCTTAAAAGAGTAACCTGCCCTGAAATGTAAAATATTTCTATTTGCCAAAAAAAAAATCATTTTCATATCTAGTGAAGAATGACACTGGAAAGGTCTCTCCAAGTGTTAGAAACTTACTTCCTTAACAGCAAATGTTCTATCAGAAAAGAAAGTCTTAATGAGAGCCACCATAGTAGCCACAATAAAAGTTTCAAATTCCTTTATGCATTAAAGACTGACTAAGGACCTTGCAGCTAAGGTGAGCAGGTGAGAACCAATCGAGGGTTTCACCCACCAGTGCATAAGGTGATTAAATAGCCCCGGAGTTCAAGCTTCGAGTGCCTACTGAGCTAGGCTTTGAGCTGAGACAAAGGACCCAGAAGTAGGATTTTATTAAAATAACTCTTGAGAACATCTGCCCACTTAACTGAGCCTTGTCTCCATAGGAAAATAAGTTTGTAGGAGGTATCTATTTTATCCTGTTACAAAATACCATAATATACATGAGATGAGAAAGTGTCTTGTCACTTCTATTTTTAAAATAAAAATTCTTTAGAAAGCCTCATGCCTTTCTGACTTGGGAAAATACAAAACATCCCTATCTTCAAGCTGCCAACCTGTAATGAATTTCTAGTTTTATGCAGAAAGGAAGGGAAAAAAAATAGTGAAGCTCTGGTTTTATGGTAGTGACTTGTGTTTTCTGTAATGTTGTTTTCTAGGTGAAAATGTAATGGGACCAATTAGCTATCTTGTTCCTGGTGCATTTTCTGTTCTCTCTGTTGTATAAAATAGATGGAGATTTTTTTTTCTATCCCTTGTCCCAATTAAGTATTACTCCATGAAATAAAACACAAAGTGTATTCATATAGCTATTTCTATAAACCCACTTTTGAGTAAGACTAACAAATAAACAGGCTCACTTCTTGGGAGCTGGTCTTTCATTTTTTGATTCAGTTTAGTTGCATTTACAGGGTTAAGGCTTTTCTAAAGAAAAGTGTATTTTTACACTGAAACTACAGACAGAAAGATGAAGAACACATCTTCCTAGAATATATATACTGTCTTAAAAATGGAAACAATCACAAAAAAAATATGCTCTGAGATTTTAATATACTTTAGCTGTTTTGCTCTTAACGTTATTTCAAGATGCTCTTTGCAAATTAACAAATGGCTTAAAGTTAATAAACCTTTCTTTAATGTTAACTTTAAATATAGGCAGGGGAAAAGACCTGCTAATTTATATTTTGTGATTTCAGGAAAAGAAGCCATTCCATCCTGACCCAGGTAACATGGAAAAAAGCAGTCCCGAGAACATGATTTTTTACTAAAGGATTCTTACTTGTTCACACCCTTCACACATAACAAGGTATTGTTATTTCCACAAAGAATACAGACTACTGAGTGAGCCTGTGGATAGATACGTACAGAATGATCTTCTGTGATCTAGGTTTGTCTTCTCCGCAAAGTGTGAGCTCACAGAAATACAACCCTGCCAGGCCCTGACCTACCTGAAAGGCAGAGTTTCTTGACCTTAGCACATTAGAGGCTTGCTAATTCCTGATGGTAGGGGTATACACTGCACACTCTAACACAGTGACCAGCATCCCAGGCCTCTAGCCACCAGATGCCAGTAGCACCCCCTCCCCCAGTATAACAACGGGAAATGGCTCCAGACATCATCAAATGTCCCTCAGAGTGGCCCAAATCACCCCTGGGTAAGAAACATTGATCTATGGTCATGGAGATATACTCAGCCCAAAATGAGAGGCTGAGCTAGTTCAGCAGACCTCGTAATCCTTACTACAGAGTAAACACAATGCCAGCTCTATTCCTTATATGCCCTCCTGGAGCCTGCACTGTGGGCAATCCTACAAGTCAAAAATTTGCATATTCTCTCTCTGAATCTCGTTTTCTCTGGCTCAGTCTCACTACTCTCGCTCCCACACACAAATCCTGGCTACTCCAGGGCTCACCCAGAAGCCTATGCTGACAACCTACCTGACCTGTCAAATTCAGAGATCACATTTTTCCTTTTCAGCAATTGTAGGGTATTTGATAAGACCTTTGCTCACTTAATACCCTTTCTTACTGGCATATTCTCTTTCATCCACTCTCCCAGAATGCAGGAATTACATCCTCAAGTTTGAGCTGATGGAAAATTTCTAACAGTGAAGGCTCTGGAGGAGTCTCCAGCCTCATCTTCGACCACTTCAGATCCCGACCGAGACATTTCTAATTCCCACAGTTGCCCCCACTCATTCTCACACGCTTTACCCGACTCTACCACTTGGTTCCCTCCTGCCTGGTAAAACCAGACCCAATGGTTCTCATAGGATATCATCCCTGACCCCTTCTCTGCTCTCTCTTCCTGTACCTTCATTTCCTAGAGTTCTTTTTTGGAAAGTAGGACCTGAGGCTTATTAGCATCCTATTCCCAGCATCTACGACATTCCAGGCACAATGCACTGAATTAAAACTCAATGAACCAACATATGCAAAGGGTGCCTGTCCTTTCATCTCCCCCAGTGCTTTGGTAAAGTACATCTTTCTGTCATTCACCAGACCGCCACAGGGAAAAGCTCAAAAAACCGCTTGTTCTTTTAAGTGGCACAGAGAACATACCCAATTATACAACTTTGTAAAGCTGCATCTTGAAGACAGACTCCCTACCTCATCACACGGCCTGTGAAACCACGTAAGTTGTCTGCAGTACACACAGGAACCCTCAACCCTAACCAAGTGGCTTCCAACATCTCAGAAAACAAATTCAACCATCATCAAAAGAAAACAAATGGTTTCAAAAAGCAGCTGCCTCCCATTCCTCAGCCTTTATCAGCCTTTTTTAAACCCAATAGTTAGAAAGCAGTCACTCTAAGAAAATAAATGAAGCCTTGTCGTACTACACATTTATCTCCTTTTATCATAAACCATTCAGCATTATCTCTGAAGAGTGGTATTTTGATAAATGTGTAGAATACAGTTCATGTCATTAAACAGCCTTGTATCTATACCAGTCAAAGATTCGAAAGGGAGCATGGTTACCAGCTACACAGTTGTCTGTTTTAGGACCCTAGTAACCATGGCTTTAATCAAGTAATTCCCCGCCCCTCCTCCCAAATCTGAAATGTAGTATTGAAATGTGGCTGTACTCCACAAGAGGATTTTATAAGTTAATTATAATGAAAAACAAAACAAAAAAACAGCTGATTTTTCTCCCTTTTTAACTAATAAAAACTATGATTTTTATAGAAAAGCAATGAAAACACTAGATAAGCATCTCTGCTGTGGATTAGCAGAAATGCATTAAGTATATGCCACTTTCTGTGCTATCATTAATTAGTGCCCTGCTCCAATGTCTTCTTGCCTTTGTTTTAATTTAAATGTAAATTTAAGTGAATTTTATATTTTAGATCCTCTCCACATTCTTATTGACAAATAAGATAACAGGAACATAGCAGGAGAGACTAGGTCTTTCCATAAGCCAACTAGCAGCATGATACTGCATAATTATTGTGGGATAAAGATTATTATGGGATAATGCTAAAAAGCCCTAATGGAAACATTCAGATAAGGAATAGAAGATCAGGGGGATAGGAAAGCACACATCATAACTAGAGTCTAAACTACAACTTCCTAGACCTCCTCTGTGACTTCGGCCCAATAAACATTTATTGGACACCTACTGTTTGCCAGGCTAAGTGCAGGGAATACAATTATTAAGATACAATCACAATCCTATCCTTCAGAGTTTGGGTATTCTCTGGCTGCAAATGCAGTACTCATAAGTTACATATGTATAGGAAGCTGATCCTGCACTGTCCAACAGGGAAGCTTAGTCACAGGTTCCCACTTAAATCTAAATGCATGCCAGTCACACCTCCAATGCTCAATAGCCATGTGTTTAGTGGTTACCAATCATACTGGACATGTGTGCATCAACACAGAGCTAAGAGATATACAGAAGGAATATGTACATCATCACAGAACCTTCCACTACACAGACTCGGCTCAGACACCAAATTATTGACCTCTATCACTTACTGATCCTGTAACACTGAGGAAATCATTTAGTTAGCCTATGAGTCTGTCTTGTCTCAGACATAACTGCAATGTCCTTCAGTAAAGGAATGGCTAAACAAATTATAGCCTATCCATACAGTGGAATAGTATGGAGCAATTAAAAATAAAAAATAGGTCACTATGTACTAGCACACGAAGATCTCCTCAACTTAATATTGATAGGTTGGATTAAGAAATATTCAATGTGATACAATTTGGGTAAAACACATTCATACTGAAATGTGCCATATTTTCTGGAGACCTATCTTAAATACACAAATATATGGAAAAAAAAGTATTGACATTTTTGTAGTTATTCTGCAGTGGTGCACAAAGGGGATTTGGCCCATATAATAAATGTATACAAAAATTAAAAACAAGCTACAGGAGAGTAAGGTATTAATATCTTCTTTACTAAATATAACTGTCATGCCATCTCTATGCTTTCCAGATACCGAAAGAAGTGCTCGGAGATGAATGTGTAAGACTTTTTAGATCTAAAGATTTGATGCTGGATACAGTATGTCATAATTCATAAGTTCTTGAAGAAGTTTAAAATCTATAGAGCAAGGAAACACAGTTGTTACCACTAATTTGAAAAACAATCTGTGATTACTGAATACAAATCGGTTCTCTACCATGCTCAAAGTCATTCATGCACCAGCCAATGCGAGGGAGGAAGGGAAGGTGGGGCATTAAGAGAAATGAGAGATCCAGTTCCCATCCTCAAGCAACCTGCAGACTAATGGGAAGGCACACACTCAAAAAGATCTTTTTAATTTTTTTTATTTTTTATTTTTTTTTTTATTTATGATAGTCACAGAGAGAGAGAGAGAGAGAGGCAGAGACACAGGCAGAGGGAGAAGCAGGCTCCATGCACCGGGAGCCCGACGTGGGATTCGATCCCGGGTCTCCAGGATCGCGCCCTGGGCCAAAGGCAGGCGCCAAACCGCTGCGCCACCCAGGGATCCCTCAAAAAGATCTTAAAACAGAATGGGATACATGCCATGACCTGGAAATACAGGGAGATACAAGAGCATACAGCAGCTATGGAAGGAAAGTTGCAATCAAGTAGACAAAATGTGTGTTGTGGGGAAGAAGGCAATGATTCAGGCAAAGGACATAGGAGAAGTGCAGACATAAAAGGGAACATAAAGGAACCCACTTGGACGTCGGGAGTGTAGCTGAAAGAGGAGGGAGACAGAGTCAGACTATGCAAAGCTTAATTAAGCCATGGTAAAGAATTTGGATTTTATTTTAAAGACAGTGGGAAGTCACTGAAGTGTGGTTTTAAATACAAGAGTGTCATGATGAGTTCTGCTTTTGTAGAAGGCTGCAGGGTAGAAAATGAGAGACAGGAGTAGTAAGGTTGGCAAAATGTAATGTGAGCCCCTAGACAGCAGGTGGCCGTGGCACAGAGAATCTTGAGACAGACCAAGGAGGCAAAATAGGTACAGTTTGGATTCAGTTGATGGAGAAAATAAACATGCTGAACTGTCTCAGTGGGAAAGATAGGAACTTAGCAAATTTCTTTTAAATATCTTTTTTTTTCAAATATTAAAGATGTTCATCTTCTTTTATAGATCCACAATCCTTTATCTGTTATACCCAAATCCCAAATGCTCAGAAAATGGACCGGAGTTCTATACGATGGGTGCAAAACCTGATTTGAATTAACATGAGCTTCTTCACCTTGCCCTATCTCGTTCTGCAAGGATATTCTACATATTTCACTATAGGAATACTAGCATCTGTGACAATAGCATACAACTGGAAAACGTTAGGTTTGTTAGGGAATAGATGCTGTACATACTAGGCTACCTTTAAAAAATCTGAATTCGGCAATGCATTCATCCCCCAGGGTTTCTGTGAGGAACTGTAAATGGTAAGTTGGCCATATTCACTTTCCACCTTTAACTAGTGACCATCAGACCATAAATTTGTGCCTGTGTTTGATTGGGGAGGCGGGATATGGGTCAGTCGATTATTATTCTTGATTGTGCAATTCTGGAGTTAAAAATGTATATGTGTATTTTAACGGCTGACCTTGAGACATGCATCAAATAAGACTGGGAGCATTCATTTTCAGGAGTTTTCATGCCACTGTAGAGAAACTGCTACAGGGCTTAACCTCATGTACCCGTTCCCCTGGGGATTGATAACTTATTTCTAACAAGGTGTGTGCTAGAAGAAGCCAAGGGCATCAAAAGGAATCCATCTCAGGCCTCTACCTACAACCCATCAACATTCATTCATTTAAAAAAAAAAATCCTTTGGCACAGTACTCAGCTTGGGGTTTTGGAGACCACAAATAAATGACATGTGATCCCCAAACTATTCTCAGGGAAATTGCTCCAAAGAAGATGTTTTATAAATGCCTGCTAAAATAGCAAATTAGATATAAAGAGAATATTAATCTGTAACCTTAAAAAAGGTGAGAAAAATAAGCAGCTAATCGCTTTTGAGCTGAGAGCTTGAAATCAGGGAGGAAAAGTGTATCTAGGGAAGCAACTGCTTTGATGGATAAGTTTTGGAGAGACAGCCGGGGAAGAAAAAAAAGAATCAAAGCATGTCTTCCTGATTGTCTAGTAATAGAACTCCCCATTGGGACCCCTTGAGAAATATCATTAATAACTTACCTTATTCACCAAGCAGTGCGCGGAGTTACAATGATGTTCGCTTTTGGAACAACACTAACCCAGAAGCAGCCTAGTTTTCTCTGAGTTGCAAAGACAGTAAAGCAAGGAGGTTCTTGGTAGTTTGAGGTACTTTTGCAATATTAAAGAGACTGACCAGAAAAGTCTTACCTTCAACACAAGAAGGCTGAGCCCGAGTTGTGCCAGCAACCTGTCCTGGGAAGCAGGAGCACTTGACTGTTTGTGACCGCTCTTCTATGCGGTTCTTGTTACAGCACCTGTGCACAGCGACCACCTCACAGGTCCCTTGCTTGATTTGATGGTGACCTGGGATAAAGGGGGAAAGAAACAGACCCAGTATTGTTAGGAAAAAATGAAGCTACCAAGTATGTGAACAATGCCATGACTACATCTTCCAGCTTCTTGTACCATGCCTAGGAATCTCTGTAACTTTTTGTTTAAATGTAATTTCATACACACACACACACACACACACACATATGTATGTATGTATATAAAGATGTTAAGAATAGTGCAAAACATTCCTGTGATCCTGTGTTAGACAGAAATTCGGCCTGCAGGACGTTTAACCCCTGGCATCACACCCACAGCTACGTTATGTGACTTATATGGCAAAAGAGATTTTGTGGATATAATTTAAATCACTAACTGGTTAATTTTAAGAAAAGGAAATTATCCTGGATTGTCCAGATCGAGCTAATGTGCTCACATGAGCTCTTAAAAGCAGAGAAATGGAGCAGAAGGGAAAGTCAGATTGAAAACATGGGGGGGGGGGGACGGGGGACAGGCACCTGGGTGACTCAGTGGTTGAGCATCTGCCTTTGGCTCCGGTAGTGATCCCAGAGTCGCGGGACTGAGTCCTACATCAAGGAGCCTGCTTCTCTCTCTGCCTGTGTCCCTGCCTCTCTCTGTGTCTCTCATGAATAAATAAGTAAAATCTTAAAAGAAAACAAAACATGAGAGGGACTTGAAACACCCTATTGGCTTAAAGATAGAGGAGTCAGAAGGCAAGGAAATGGGGACTTCAGTCCTACAACCACAAGAAACCAAGTTCAGCCAACAAAATGAATATAGGTTGAAGCAGATTCTTTCCCAGGCCCTCCGTAAAAGAATACAGGCCTGCTGACACCTTGATTTTAACCCAGAGGTCAGATGCTGAGCAGGAAATCCAGTCCAACTGTGCCAGACTTCTGACCTACAGAAACAAGCCACTATATTTGCAGTGATTTGTCACAGCAGCAATAACATCTTTTACCCAGATTCACTATTGTTAACATGTGACCCTATTTGTCTTGTCATTCACTCTCTTTCATGTATCTTTCTGAGCCATTCGAGAGTAACTTGCAGACATGATATCCCTTGACCCTTTGGTAACACTTCAGTGGGTATTTCCTAAGATGAAAAGCATTCTCCTACATAATTATCAAAATCAGGACATTTAACACTGATACAATGCTATTATATAAGGCTATTACATAATCTGCAGGTTTGCCAGTTGTCCTAATAATGTCCTTTATAGACATTATTCCCCTTTTTTTCAAGATTCAACTCAAGGACCCACATTGTATTTCATTGTCACATTTCTTTAGCCTTCTTTAATCAGAAAGCATTTTTCAGCCTTTATCCTTCTTGACATTTTTAAAAAATGCATGCCAGTTATTTTGTAGAATGTCTGTTAGTGGGTCCAACGGCCCTGGTCAAGTCTTCAGAGACTCCAACCCCAGCCAACTGCAGAACTGCAATCTGACAACCCTGAAGCAGGACCACCCAGCAAAGAAATTCCCAAATTTCTGATGCTGACAGACTGTGTGAAGTAATATATGTTGATGGTTTTAAGCTTCTAATAAGGTTTGGGCCAATTTGTTACACAGCAATAGAAAACTAATAAACCAAATCCGGCTCTATCAGGATTGAAGAGACTTACCTCTGCTCTGATAAAAATTATGTAAACAAGATTGTGCAGGCAATGTTTAGAAATTATTAATAAAATACAATGTGGGGCACCTGTGTGGCTCGGTCAGTTAAACATCTGCCTTTGGCTCAGGTCAGGATCTCAAGGTCCCATAAAGTATTAGGATCCTGCTAGTAGGGAATCTGCTTCTCCCTCTCACTCTCCCTCTGAGCTCGCTCTCTCTCTCAAATCTTAATAAAATAAAATCTTAAATAAAATTCTCTCTCTTATCTTAATAAATCTTAAATAAATAAAAATAAAACACAACCTTTTGAAGCACCCATGAGCACCCTCAATTTTCACATACACTATTTACAAATAAATATCTCATCTACTCATTACAACAGGTTTCCCCAAAGATTCCCAGGGGCTAATACTTTGCTTGGTTTCTGTTGTTTGTTGCATCTACTTCAAATCACAAAACCAGTTTAAAAAATCTGAATTATGGAATATTTTCATCGATAAATCGAGCCCTCCCACAAAACCACCTCTGTATTCTGAAAATTTTCTAGCCCTTTCTTTGCATACTGCATTAAAATGTGGGTGGGAGCAAGATTCAATTACTGGCAAGAACAAACAGTAAGGTAAAGTTTCATTTGTGAAAACACATAAAAGCATGGAACCAGTACCCAGAGAATCAAACCACCGTCATGAGAGAAAGTTTTCAATCTCCTACAGAAGAAAGCATAAAGTGATTAAAACTATAACCCTAAATAAATGTACACAACCAGAGTGCTGATTTCCCATAGGTAGTTGCATACAGTTGTAAAAAATAAATAAAAATGAATTGTAATTACAATGTTGGGAAAGTAATAAAGGCATTTGGTGCTGAATAAGGAGAACAATGAGGACTGGGAAGAGTTCAGCAGGAGACCATGTCTCTGGTTTACAGTTGTAGGTGAGCACCTTCAGGTCAAACGTCCCCTGAATGACTAGCCATGGAGGGGAGGGCCACAGTGAATTCATCCTCAGTCCTCCAACAGCACCTTCCCCTCCCTGTTGGCCACTGTCACAGTTTGCCCAGTGGCCACAATGAAGGACCACAGGCTGGGAAGCTTAAACAGCAGATCAAGGTGCCAGCCAATTAAGTTCCTGGTGAGAGCTCTCTTCTTGGCCTACAACAAACTGTCTTCTCTGTCATGACGTGGCAGAACAGAGTGCTCTGCTGTCTCCTCCTTTCTTCTTTTCTCCAGAAAATTACTAGCTCTCCCAGATCAGGGTGCCACCCTTATGACCTCATTTCACCTTGACTTCCTCCTCACAGACTCAGTATCCAAATAGAGTCATATAGTCATACTTATGAATTGGGTGGGTGGGGGGACACACAAATATTCAGTTGGTATATCAGCCATGTACATTAATTAGGTTTTAAATGACCCTGGGGGGGTCATGAAGGTGGCACTACACTTCATTAAGAAAATAAAAGAAATCCATTTTAGTAACTTAGAATAGTTGAGAAATGGTTGCGACATTCACCAATATTGTAGTTGGCTTAGAATTTTGCTGCTATTTAGATAACCATCCACAAATGCAAACAGATTTTCTTCCTCCTCAAATTTGTCTCTGAGTAATCAACCTGCGATGGTCTAGGATTTTATTCACTTATATAACACTGACTATAGGACCTCATTGATTTTTAAGATACATGCTTTTCTCATCTTTAAACATTCCAGGTCTCACAACTGATAGCATCTTATCATTGTAATTGGCAATGCTTTTCTTTCTGAGAAATACACAAAATAGCAGTGTATCTCATAGTTGATGGCATCTTAGATTTGATAAAACAGGGTAGGTTGCAGGCACTGTTTTAAATCCTCTACAAATACTCTCCTATGTGATCTTTAAAAATGCTACAATGTAGGTACCATTTTTATTCCTTTTGTACATTTAACAAGATGTACACACACTAATTTGCCCAAGGTCACACAACTAGAAACTAGAGAGGACAGATGCAAACCCAGGCAGTGTCTATATGGTCATAGAATGCAGGAGAAAGGCAGTAGCCAATATCTCACTCAGTGAAGCCAAATGGCATTCCCTTCCCCCCTCAGCAAATCACAAGACATGGCTAAGCTTCCCACAGAAAAACAACTTTCCTACATGATGACAGTGTGCAGGGGACTCCGTACAGACACTATTTCTAGTCATTTGTGGACTGTTGAGACTGGACTGTGGTCTTTGAATAACAATGTGCCTCATTTCTTTGTAATCTGTAGTTCCTGACCCAGGAGGTAAGTATTCAGAAACAAGTACTTCAAATTGCTCAAGGAATGATGGCGGAAGACAGGAATTGTGGGCTACTATACACAGAAATCGCAAAATATATACTTGGCTTGAGCAGTTCATCATGTATTAGGGTTCTCCGAAGAGAAAGAACCAACACAAAGCAGATATATACACATAAGGAGATTATAAGAAACTGGCACATGTGATTACGAAAGCTGAAAATTCCCAAGACTTAGTCAGCAAGATGGAGACTCAGGGGAGCCAAGAGTTCAGTTCCCGTCTGGTCCAAAGGCTTGAGACCCATGAGAGCGAATGTTGTCATTCTAGTTCAAAGACTGGCAGGCGCAAGACTCAGCAAGAGTTGACATTTCAGTTTGCAAAGGCAGGAAAAGACTAATGTCCCAATACAAAATCAGGATAAATACTCTCTTATTCAAGGCAAGGTCAGTCTTTTTGTTCTACTGAGGCCTTCAGCTATTTGGATGAGGCCTACTCACAGTAAGGAGGGCAATTTTCCCTACTGAATCTAATTTTTTTTTAACATAATCTACTCAATCTATTAATTCAAACGCTGAACTCATCCAAAACAACCTTAAAAAACCACACAATAATGTTTAATCAAATTGGGCGCCCCAAGACCCAGGCAAGTTGTTATATAAAATTAACCACTATAAACATCACAGAACTATATAGTTACCTGATAGGTGGGGTAAAAAACGAAATCTTTTAAAAGAGACAAGAAATTAAAGGTTTTCATGGTAAACTTAGTTCTCTGGAAAGGTACAGGAGGGATCCTTGTTTAATAAGATTAATAAAGTGGCCACCAAAGAGTGGCCACTGCAAGTAAATTCAATTAAAACAAAGATACATCTCTTATTTCAATGTTCCCAGCAGGAAACATTTTGGTTGGGCATCCATCTTGAAAACTAAAGCTAAATACACAGAAGTGTTGAGAGTGAGAGATTGTAGCTCAAACTTCTCATATGGGATTTACCTTACAGTTTCAAAGTGTGAATTGAGATAGATAAGACTAAGTTATCCCAAAGTAAAGCTGCTCTCTGAAGCAAAACTGGTCAAACAGAAAACAAAACACTATTCTCTTTATGCCATCTGCTTATCTCTGTCAGCT